CTATTTGACGGGGCCTCCACAGGCTTTCCGTGGACTATTCGTTAACAAGTCATAGTTTAAGTTTATAATCATTTTATTATGCAAGACGTACAGTGCTACTCTCGAGTAACACTGTCTGAGAAGTTCATATACATTACAACTCATCAATATTCATTATTACCTTAAAAAAGGTCTGTCCACGGAAAGCCTATGTAGGTACTGTCAAGTAAGTTACAGGTGTCACTTGCTGATGTTGGGAATTGGAGTTGCATGACTCGGCAAAATCGCTGAAAGTGCCCACGTGCAACTTATTTGACGGTTACCTTCACAATGGGATAATTTGCACTTGTCAGCGGCCCCCGTTTGGCCCCCGGAGGTCTGAGGGGCCTCGAGTTTCACAAGAAGTTGCATCGCTCGGCCCCCGACGACATACCGAGAGGGCTAGGTCGGGAGATGCCCAGAAATATTTTTCTTTGCTCTCCGTACAACTCTCTGTCTCTCATAGGCCTCTGTTGGGAAAGGGCCTGTGCAGCAGCTACTTTCTCAGTGCCCGATTGGCTCGGGAAGCGTCTAGGGCCACAAAACTCCGGGACCCGATTGGGGTGGCCCTGACGGTTCCCCGTGATGAATCTTGGGGCCCTGCGACCTTCGTGACCCCTGCGTTTCTGACGTGCCACCCGCAACTTATTCAATGGAACCTCTACAGGTGGATCGTGGTCAAAGGGTCTTTTTTCGGCCGATCGAAGGAGATACGGACACGGAACTCCGGGCGCTGTCCCGGGGGACCGTGACGTGACATACATGTCAATTTCGGGTCAATCGGACCTTTCTGTCTCACTGTCCGCAAAACACCTGTGAAAACAAATGGAATAAGTTGCACGCGTCAACGGCTCCCGTTCGGCCCCCGGGGGTCCTAGTGGCCCCAAACTTCACGTGCTGGTAGCCTAGGGGCCCCCGAACACCATATCGAGCGGACAAGCGTCTACCCCGAAGGCAAAGTAGCCTGTGCACATTAGGAAAAAATGTCTCAAACAGGCCCCATCCTCACATTAGGCCTAAAACCCTTTTGATTGAATTCAAGTGCCCAGAGGTCAAAAGATATCTGAACTGCGGAAAAACATGCTTAGGAGTGGCAAAACACCTGTGAAAACAAATGGAATAAGTTGCTCGCGTCAACGGCTCCCGTTCAGCCCCGGAGGTCCTAGTGGCCCCAAACTTCACGTGCTGGTAGCCTAGGCGCCCCCGAACACCATATCGAGCAGACAAGCGTCTTCTCCGAAGGCAAAGTAGCCTGTGCACATTAGGAATCCCCACTGCCACAGCAGTCCCTGCTCCCACAGGAGCTCTTCCATAGTAGTCTGTGCACATTAGGAAAAAATGTCTCACACAGGCTCCATCCTCACAAGCAGTGCCCGCTTCCACAGGAGCCTCTTACCGTATTTCTCCACTGCCGCAGTAGTGCCCTCTCCCGCAGGAGCCTCTTTCCATATTTCCCCACTGCCACAGCAGTCCCTGCTCCCACAGGAGATCTTCCATATTTCCCCACTGCTGCAACAGTACCCGCTCCCGCAGGAGCCTTTTCTGTTTCCCCACTGCCGCAGCAGTTCCCGCCCCTGCAGGAGCCTTACCTAAATTCCCACACTGCCGCAGCAGTGCCCACACTCGCAGGAGATTTTCCATATTTCCCACACTGCCGCAGCAGTGCCCACACTCGCAGGAGATTTTCCATATTTCCCTACTGCCACAGCAGTCCCTGCTCCCACAGGAGCTCTTCCATATTTCCCCACTGCTGCAACAGTACCCGCTCCCGCAGGAGCCTTTTCTGTATTTCCCCACTGCCGCAGCAGTGCCCACTCCCGCAGGAGCCTTACCTAAATTCCCACACTGCCGCAGTGGTGCCCACACTCGCAGGAGATTTTCCATATTTCCCCACTGTCGCAGCAGTGCCCACTCCCGCAGGAGCTCTTCTATATTTCCCCACTGCTGCAGCAGTGCCCGCAGGAGTTTTTCCATATTTCCCAACTGCAGGAGCCTTTTTCTGTATTTTACTCTTCCGCAGCAGTGCTTATTTCTGCAGAAGCCATTTTCTCTTTTCAGATGCCGCAGCAGTTCCCACTCCCACAAGAGTTTTCTTTTCAGATGCCGCAGCAGCGCCCGCTTCAGCAGAAGCCTCTAGTTCTGTCTTCTAAAGCCTCAGCAGTGTCGCTACTACAAACGACGTCCAGCACCCCACCAATGTTAAGCTTTGCAAATTTTTTTTTGGGGGGGGTATCAACGCTCCTCTCTGGCTGCTGTCCCGTACTAATTGCATCTTTGGGGGAGCGCTCTGGGTTAGACCCGAGCTCGGACCCCTCTCCCCGGAAAGGGGGAGTACCCCGGGCTCGAGAGTAATTACCGAGCTCGGAGCCCCCTCCCCGGACAGCACGCCAAATATGCATAACCTTTACTCTGTTCATTATATGTAAGTGTGAACTCGTGAAACACATGCAGATGTCCAGTTAGCATTAGGGGAGTAACTACTAACCAATTCAAGTTTGATGTAGGCACAGCAAGTCACAAAACGATTATATCAGATTCTGTGGATTAGTCACATACAGTATGTGTTTCAACAAAAGTTTGTCAGTTATCGGATTAGTGCATATTACAACACAGTTAAAAGATTGACACCATTGTTATATAGGTGAAATGTCTTAGCAATTAAGGATTTTTTATTTTTTATTTTAAAATGATAACAAAACCTCACCTTCAGACCGTTCCTACCCCAGCACGGGGAGCGCTCTAGGTCCGGGCTTAGACCATGCACGCCAAATATGCATAACCTTTACTCTGTTCATTATATGTAAGTGTGAACTCGTGAAACACATGCAGATGTCCAGTTAGCATTAGGGGAGTAACTACTAACCAATTCAAGTTTGATGTAGTCACAGCAAATCACAAAACGATTATACCAGATTATGTGGATTAGTCACATATGTGTTTTGACAAAAGTTTGTCAGTTATCGGATTAGTGTATGTTACAACACCGTTAAAAGATTGACACCATTGTTATATAGGTGAAATGTCTTAGCAATTAAGGATTTTTTATTTTTTATTTTTTTTACAATGATAACAGAAGTAATACATTCTTCTTTCTGGTTTACAGCATCACCATACCATGTCGAAGAGGGGAGGGGGGCTGAAGAAAACATGCCCTGCTTGTAAGGAGAAGATTTTTAATGGATTTAAAATGTGCCCTAACTGCAAGGCCCCACAGCCTAAAAATCTTAGATTAAAAAAAAAAATCGAAAAATTTGAACAAAAAAAGGACACATGGGTAGCAAACAACAAAATAAATCAGGTGATCTCCCACTTACTGGATGATGCAGTCATTTTGGTAAGTAACTTGTATTGTGCTATGTCACCATAGTAGAAATTATCTTATCAAAATGACATAGGTCCTGGTGGCGTGCAGTGATTTTGGGGTCTTTGAAATGCACGTATTTTTTCAAATGGCAGGTTAGCGTTTCTTAATTGGTGGTTCACAATGTGGGCAGCTATCACTATGCAGGCTAGTGGCAGTTTTACACACCTTTCAGGTTATATATTTGACTTTCTGATTCTGAGACAAGATTATGCATCATATTTATGGAGGCTATTTATTCAACAGTTTCAGCATCTTAACTTTACCCTATTATCATTGAAAAACGTTGCAAACATAGACCAGAGACTCTCAGGATCAGGTCATAGCCTGCAGTACTGTTGTGATGTTTCACAGCTCTTCATATCAAGAACAGTTGACTTTTCCCTTGTGAGTGGCTCGCACAAGTGCCAGTATGTTAGCACATGGTGGCCAGTTGACATCAAATCTCGTGGGCGATGTGACATATGAACTGAACTTGGCCAATAAGACAGAGGTGCATTAGACAGCAGACCAGCAGAAATCTTATTGTGCTACCATCTGACCATGTCAGTGAGTGAGCTTTCACTGTTCACTGCTCTGTCATTGTGTTTAGTCAATATATTGTCTTCTCTTGTGATTTGTCAAATAAGTACAGTCTGCTTTGATCCTAAGATTTTCATGTTGACCTGTATTTGTGTCCCAGCTTTGTGATATGTACACAAAGATCCATACACACCACACCAAAGCACTTGTAATTGTTTTTAATGTTTATTTTTCAGATATAGAAGCTACACGCAGTTGGCTGGAGGCCTTTGCTCCTGCTTGAATACCCCCACAAAGAGGCAAAACTGATTTGCCTAAAGATCTGGCGTTGGGCACAAATAAACAAACGTGCGTGAAAAACATCCAAATTTGAAATTATGGTTGAGGGTGAGACTATATTTAACATATATTTTAAAAACTAATTTCAATTATTTTTATATTATTATATAGGTGTAGGTGGTGGTGAGCAATGGTTGGAAATAGTGAGGGCAGATATGCTTCTCCGAGTATCTGAAGCATGTGGGATGTAGGTTTATTTTGCCTTACCTTTCACATTTTGACCTAATTGCATATTGTACATTTTTGTTTTTACTGTGTTCTAGGAAATACAAACCAGGCAACAGAAAGTAGTCAGGAACACGAGGAAGCTACTGTCATTCTGCATTTAGAGACTTTGGTCAACCCTTCAACAGCAGAACAAGGTGTGTTTGGCCCAGATTTGGCACCTCCGCTTTATGTTGTTCCCCTTGAGATCTTTATGAGAATGTGGTTTAGCGGGGGGGGGTCTATTTTCTTTACAGTTGTCTACACTTTTATGAGAGACAACACCATCTCTCCACTCATCCTCAGATTCGACAGCTGCAGCATGTCTGGACCAGGCGGCTGGGACTATGGACGGTCCAGAATGCAATCGCAGCCTTCTTCCTACAGGACAAGGTGTTTAACTCTTCAGATTTATTTGTGTTCTTCATGTCCTTGTGAGATGTCCTTTAGCAGCATATCTCTATTTTGACCAGGGACCGTATTCACAAAGACTTTTATCTTAGCGTTAAGAGAACTCCTAAATCACACTCAAAGTTCCTAACTAAGAGTTCTCTCTTAAAACCTATTGACAAAGCAGCTGAGACCTACTTTTAGTAAGGAAAAATTACTTCTAGGATATGATAAAAGTTCCTTTGCTATGGTTGATGTCTGTTGTCATGTACAAGCCTGCTTGCAGTTACCTCTGTGATTGGTTGATAGGGGTGGCATGGTACGTGTATTCGTATTGAATTGTCACGGTCCGGGGGTCACGGTTCGTTATGTACATTTTCATGGAGAATACATGGTACAACATAAAATTTGATATTGAATTCAAAGCGGAACTATTGTCTCATGTGGGAGTTCTTTCAGGACTCGTTTAACTTGAGATCTGCACTTGTAGCGACTTATTGGTCACTTTCAAACTCTGATTGGTCTAGCTAGCCGAACTCCGCTTTCAAATACAATCTCTGCCCAGGAAAGTTGTTGTTGTTCATCATATGAGTGGGCTAATCGTGAGAGACCGGTAGGAGTTAAAAGACCCGCCTGCATCACTTAAATCAGTGGTGTAGGATAACTTCAGGATACGTTTGCACGTAGCCGGGTATTTGTGAAAACGGATATATTCTCTTCCTCCGTATTAAAAAATAATTCCGTTCACACGTCGCTCAACAACAGCCGGGGAAGGCTGTCAAACACATCAAACAAATATATAGCACTTCAGACATGCTAACGCACATCCAACGGCATCACCCAGAAATGTCTATCACTGAAACTAGACCAAAGAAAAGTGTCTAGTTAGGCCTACTTCTCCCCACCGTACTTCACCAACCATTAGACACAAACTTGATCTACACTCACCACTGATAGTGTGGACAAACTCGTTTTAAGAAAAACTTAAAAATAGAATAAAGCTTGAGTACTTTTGAGAGGTGCATGCCTAATATTGCAAAATGTTAATGTGGTTGTCCTCCAAAGCACAAAATTGTGTTTGATTTGTAGATGTGCTAGCCAAGTAGTATATTGCCTTTTTTTTGCATCTGGTAGGCTGAAATGATTGAAATGAAAACTTTTATTTGAGCGTTTTCATTGCAAACAAGATGCATTTAAATTTTTGAACCTTGTGTGATTTTCTTTTTCATCAGCCACCATATATGTATGATCTGTACTTTACTCTGAGCTTTACTGTTGAGTTTGCACTTTGATAAAATGAGAGAATGTGTCATTTTTAGTTTTCTTGCCAATTGTGTCTGTTCTCATTTGTTTACCTTTAAACACAGCCTTTTTTGTTATGCGTTTTTTTTACCCTACATTGTACCGAAAATGTATCGAACCGTGGGGTCTGAACCGAGGTACGTACTGGGGCTTGCACCGACTAATCGACTAGTCAACTTCAGTGCTCTGCCATGACGCTTTAAGCTTGATGTCGACTAGTCGCTGGACCTATAGAGGGCGCAACAGGATAAGAAATCTTTGAAGGACTTTCACATTTATGCTCCGTTTCCAAAGTTCAAATGACAAATAAATGCATATTCTGAAAGCGCTCCACAAGACATGTGTGATTATATTACTGGATGCTCGAAATTGAACGGGAGAATGCACGTTTTATACAGCTTATTGTACAGGTAAATTAATCGCCATTCTAATCTAATGCGATGCTGCACTGTAACGCACACACATAGGCTAAAGACAGTAATGCGTACATCACGCGCACAGAATCATTCAGCACGGAAATGTATTGTCAACATTGTTCTGGGATTTCTAAATAAAATAGCTTAGAAACTGAAAAGTTCAAGCATTTATTTCTTAACTAAATTCCACAGCTTCACTACTAGTAGAGAGACGCTGCCAGGTAGAATTAATTCACACACGCAATCGCTGTCTCACTAATGCATTCATATTAATGTAATCTTTACTGTGCTACTTTATCTGTATCTGATTTAGAACGAGCAGAAATCTGTGAGAAATATAACGACCCAAATACAAAAGAACTGATAAAAAAGCTGTTATAGGAGCAACAGCCGTGTGGGCAGCGCTGTGTCATATGCCATACCTGTGCACAAGGTGTTTGTCACAGCCCCAGACTTATTTGTTCATTAATGACGTCATCAGTGACTAATCGACTTCGACTCTACTTTCATCACATATGAAACTGTACTTACCGAACTGTGACTTTTGTATACCGTGCCACCCCTATCGGTTGATAAGCGACAATTCTGTATGGGTATGCATGTGCTATGTGATTGCCATGGTGGGCGGTGACAGAGATAGATGACATTTACATTTAGTCATTTTGCAGACGCTTTTATCCAAAGCGACTTACAATTGGGGGATACATAAAGCGATTCTTCTTAAAGAGGCAAACGGATACAGGAAGTGCTTGTAATACCAAGTTTTTAGACATTGTTCAAATAAGTACAAGCTAGAAAGAGAAGGAATTTATGATGAAGTCAAGTAGCTTCGAAAAAGATGAGTTTTCAGCTGTCGCTTGAAAATTGTCAGGGATTCAGCATTCCGGATAGGGGTGGGAAGATCGTTCCACCAGCCAGGAATGGTGAACGAGAATGTTCTGGAAGGTGATTTTGAGCCTCTCTGTGATGGTACCACGAGGCGTTGCTCACTAGCAGATCTCAGACTTCTGGAGGGGATGTAGATTCGTA